ATCAAAACATAGATAGACATCGCCTCCGTAGACAGAATCACAAATGACACAGCAATATATCCACTGGAGGATTTCATATCCACCGTCAAGAAGAGAAATTAAAATGTTAGGGATCCATCATATGAATCAATAATCTTTCCATAAACATCTTGACAGGTGAAACTAAGGTAGGTAGTTCGTTTGCCATAAAAAAATATAAGGCTAGTGTGTGAGATGCTAGTAACCATTCGTCTATAGTACTGGTAATATTAGCGGTTTCCTTATAAGGAAACATTTTGTATTGAGTGATCGAGCAGCCAGTTCTGTTTTCGATTAAAATTTATAAAATCATTCTCTTAAAACATTTTTTTAAAGGAGAACAGGTTTCTCAAAATCAGTAGCTGTCATCTCTCTTTTTCCAGTAATGATGGGGGGGGGATTCTTTCTTGGTTGAAGTCGTGTGGAATGTCAGCTTCTTTTTTAATGTGCAATCCATTTTAGTTGTTGCTGTTATTGGTAGTCCTCAAGTAATGTGGTTTTTGTTATTTGGTACAGCTCACTGTTGGTTATTTTATAGCGCCAATCCACAATGTTCAAGGAAGGATTATATTTTCCAACATGCACAAAGCCTCCCCGCCTCCATTGATTTTAGGAAGCGGTTGTGTTCAATTGACAATTGAGATATTTTTGAACGGATTTGGCGCCATGCATAGCATTCATGCGAAAGTCTCGGTGGGAATGGGTTGTAAGGTAAGAACCATTGATCTAATCTATTTTATTTATCTGATCTATCTCTCACCCATTTCGTCTATTTTATCTATATTTTATCTACCACATTTCTCTCATCTTTTGCATCTGTCTTGTCGATCTTATCTATTTTACTTATCTTATTTATCTAAGCTTTTCTATAACCGGTTCTTCTTTTTTTTATGACGTTATTAACTGCGAATCATTTTCTCTTTATAGGTTCCCTCAGCGTAGCTTTGTTCATTGAAGTTTTTTTTTTCTAAAATGGCAGGATAACTGTATTATTTCGCTATGCATTTTACTTTTCCTATTTCTTGGTTCTCTTTTCGTTCTCTTGTTCTATTGTCACCTTTTACTGTTGTAGTTCAACTTTCCATAGTCGTCTTTTCTTCAAGTCCCTTATTTATAGGGTCCACGCAATTCTAGATGTTAACGTGCTCTCTTTCTTCCAATTTGCTTTTCATATAACGTCTCTTGGGTGTACAGTTTTATGTGTTGTCATCAGTTTTCTCATTTTATGTTTGTTTTTTTTTTGTTTCATGTGCAATTTATAAATGACCTGGACTATTTTTTTATAATGGGAACGTTTATTTTTAATCATTTCACCCAAATCAAGACACTCAGTTGCAAGGTGTTACTGAGTGTGAAAGAAGATAGGAAAGACATTATTAAGGAGAGAGAACAATAAATGAACAAGAGTTAAGAAGACCAACAATAACAATTGATATTACATTTAAATTTTTGAAGATCAAATTTGTACGGAAAGCAAGAGGCCAGAGAAGAATCCCACAAAATGCTCAGGTATTTATTCCTTTGGTGAAAGTTTAGTTTCTAGTATTTTCTTCTTTGTTTAAAGGTATCTTTTGCCTATTTAACGTTTCGCTTTGGATACCGTTTCTCGAATGAAAAATTGTGGCGATCGAAAAGTGACCTTGGAGTCGAAGAAAGAAAAAAAATCATGGATAACAAAAACAGCCGAATAAATGTTTCTAGCTTGTGCTTCAATGTCGAAACGGAACGGCTGCTACTAGACTTAACAAAATGGACACAAGCGAAGAGTATAAGACAGAGTTCCTTCTTAGGAGGTTCATTCTTCGTAGTGCTGGTCGGGTTCGACTGTTGTAAGCGGGCGAAACGTTCCTCTTATGGCGCTTGAAATCCTCTCTCCTACCAGCTTAATGAACCCACACTGGTCCCCTACCGAAATATTTGAGTTGAGATTGTCGATAAACAGACCCCAGGGTGTATGCTTTGAGCCGTTATGTCCAAAAGAGTCGTTCTTCCACTTACAGTTTGTTTAATTGGTAAAATCATATGGCGCTACAGGTTCTTTTCCTTCGTCTTTTTCTTCTTGATCGTATCTCTTTTGTAAAATTACCCAGATACTTTTAATTTCCTTTACCGTTGAGAATTTTGAATATTTCTTGGTTGGAGAATTTGATTTTTTCTAATGTCTCTTTTTAATCTTTGTCCATCGCTACAGTTTCCTATATATGAAAACCAGGCTTACAGTTACATCATATTGAAACACTGGTTCCTGTACGATCAGCGAAGTTTAGCAACAAGCTCTTTTCCCTTCCTTTGTGCACACTGCTAGCGGAGCGGTTATGTTTACACTGTAACGGCAGCAAGAAAACTGGTGCGATCAACATCGATCACGTGACCACAGTAGTACCAACTATAAGCACGCATGCGCAGAAGGCAGTGTAACAAACATAAAGAGATGTTATGGCGGATAATTTCGTATTTTACAAATACCTGTTTTTATTTTTAGCATTAAATGTTAAAAAGTCATATATCAATAAATTGTCCGTTTTTTAAAGGATGATAAAAAACGGAAAGTTATTTCTCTTTCAGTGCGACTCTCTCAAATCAACAGGACTTGAAGCAAATATAATGATTCTTCTTTTCCTAAATGAAAAATAGTTGTAGAATTGGCATAGCGAAAAGCCAATGCTTCAATGACTAGCATGGATTATACAAAAAGGTTTTGGTTTTCATTATCATCAGTCCCATGATTAGGTGTAGTCGTAGAGTCGCTGAACAACTGACCACCTTACCAGCTCCCTCCATATATCTCAGTTGCGTGTCAATGTCCGAGTTACTCAAACCACACAGTGACGTTTTCAGATAATTCTTTCCTCTGCCTGTCTCTTCCTTTGCCTAAGGTGATCTCTTGTAGGATTATTGGCTTTCGTGACGTGGCTATATCATTGCAACTTTTTCTGCTTATTGACAGTGGATACAAAGCCTGTCAACGGGTCTATTTCTGAACAACTGACCACCTTACCAGCTCCCTCCATATGTCTCAATTGCGTGCCAATGTCCGAGTCACTCACAGTGTCGTTTTCATATAATTCTTTCAACGGGTCTATTTCTGTATCTGTTGTGAATGCGGTCTACGGAGGACATAGCTATGAGGCTCTAATGCTTAGATTCTGTCTATTGTCTATTGTTTTCAGGCAGGCGTTGTTGTCTTTTCTGAGAGCTCTTAATTTTACGACATCCGTCATTATTTTTTGTGCATATTTAAGCTTTATTTTCATCCAAAAATGATTTTTTCAGTGTCGTCAAAATGAAGTCGGTCAAATAACAACATTTTCACTCAAGAAAAAAATCGCAAAAACCATGAGAAATTTTACATTAAGTATTTTATTTAAAAGAAAAAAAACCTTTTTGCCTTTTTGTTCAAAATAATAAAAAGAAATGGGAAAACTTCAAAAAAGCGGTCATGGCCTTCAACCAAGACTTTGAGTATGGTTTTCAGAAGTGACTGATTTATTGTGTAAGTAAATGAAAGAAACCCGATTGGAATTTGAAATCAGCTCTCAGACTTCCTTTTCTGAGCCGCTATCCATTACACCACCCTCACATCCGCACGTAAAAAAGAAGTATGATGTGTATATTATAAGGATATGTAGGATAGAAAACATTTGACTCTAGAATCGAAGAGATTAAGATCGTAGGTTCGGGGAAGCACTCGAGAGGCTGTTCCACAATGCAACAGATCTAGGCAAGAAACTGTCTGCGTGGAACTTCCTCTTTACGAATGGAAGACGACGGGTATGAGGATGAGTTGACCCTGAGGACCTGCCATGGAGAGCCCTAAATGTAGAAGTCTGAACGAGTGAAACTAAGCAATGCAGCTCGTCTGAAGATCTGGTATAAAATAGCAATAGTGTAGCGAGGGACTACCGACATTTCGTCTGTAAGGAAGGGGCTTTAGGCTTGAAAATAATTCATTACCCGCAAGGCCGCGTAAAAGAGAGGTTTATCTAGAATTACATCTTGCTTATTTCTGACTCAACAGTAGTCGAGGCAAATCTATTTTTTTATGCAAGAAATTTCAGACATTTATTTTTGGTATATTTTACGGAAGATTGTATTGCGTCATATAGAATGCGGTACAATGAACACGTTTTAAATTAAAAAATAAGCCTTTATCTGGATTTGAACACGGATTTTAGAATAATGATATCTCTTATTTATTGCTTGTCTAGCCATACCACCTCTTGCTTAATACTGAGTTGGATATTGCAACAACGGTGTACCAGACTAACTCTCTACTTGAGAATTTTGCATATTTTCAATCGTTGGCATTTCGGTGTTTACAGACGACTGCAGAGACTCGACCAGTAAACAGACAGACTGTGTGTTGATTTTATATGAGAAAACCACCCGGTTTCCTCTGTTTGTGTACACAGGGTGGGAGGCTAAAGAACTTAAACAGGAAACAAATATTCCGAGTTGATAGGTTATCTAATAAATCAGGTCACAGCTGGATGATTCAAGCGTTGAGTGGGTAGCTGTGAGGCCTACGGTTTAACAAAGGTTGGTTGTTAGTTGTTTCTTTCTAAAGAATAAAAAAAATCTCAATTCTTTTTGGTCTTTTCATAATCAAGGTTATTTTTGTTTAACGGCATATCAACTTTTATGGGTTATCTAATGGCGAAATCTAAATATTTTTTAGACAATTTTTATTTGCTATTTTTTTTTCAGATAAAAATGTTATAGTGATACAAGTCTTACTAATTAACCCATAGCTAGGGGAGAAGACGTAGATTCATACCTTTTCTAAGGGCATAAGTGAATATAACGACCTCAGCGGGAATTGGAACTCGGCTCTCCGATTACAACATCTGGTATTCCCAAAGTGTCACCCATGTAGGTATTGACGAGACTCAACGTTGCTTAACTTCGGTCATCGTACGGAATGGTGTTTCAACGTGATGTGGCCGTAAACCGTCAAATGAAGGATTTTTCCTAATTCATAGATTTTCTTTCTTTCTTTTTTCTTCTTTCTTTCTTTCTTTTTTCTTTTTCTTTCTTTTTTCTTTTTCTTTCTTTCTTTTTTCATTTTCTTTCTTTCTTTTATGTTTCTTTCTTTCTTTTTTCTTTTTCTTTCTTTTTTCATTATCTTTCTTTCTTTCTTTATTTCTTTCTTTATTTATTTATTTATTGCAATAGTCATTTCATGTCTTAATGCCTGAGATGAGGATCATTATATACCTTATTTACACTCGAACTATATTCTAACCTCCAGGTTATTACTCCATGAGTCATTAGCCTAGGAGATTCATGTTACCCCCGAGACAATAAGACGAAGATTTACACTCACCTGAAATTTCCAAACTAAAAAAAAAAGAAAAAGATTCTTCCTATGTCTACAAAAAATAATGGCGAATGATTCATAATGTTACTGAAAGCCTTGACCTTATCACAGGGGCCTTGAAATCTGAGGACTAGCAAGGGACTTAGATGCGCAATACGGTGTAAAAAAAGAGGTTTGTGTTGAAGATTATGGGTTCCTCAGTAAGTTAACAAACCAAGGCTCAGAAAGGAATGGCTGAAAATGAAGATATGAACTGTTTTATACTGGCCAGCAATGTCCTGATTTCAACTTCAATGAAAATCTATGAGATCAGCTGCAATCCGCTATTGGGAAATTAAAGGCGGCAAAAGTTCAAGAGCTTGAACAATAGGAAAGAGGAAAGAAGATAGCAGCTGAGAAATGCAAGAAACTTATAGAAGACTAAAAAATATGTTTGAAGGCTGTCATCATTGCCAAAGTGGGTACAGTCAATTAAAGGGGCGTGTCTTATTATTTTCTGTGTCATATTTTATTTTTTAAAATTATAACATGTAATTTTATGAAAAAAAAAAAAAAAAAGATTTCTTCTGTCAAATTATTTTGGAAACTAATTAAATAACTTCTGATATAAAATTGGTACCGTTCTACTTATTTTTGAAGATATACCGAAAAATGAAAGAGTGCTAATTATGAGAACTATATATATATATATATATATATATATATATATATATATATATATATATATATATGAAAAGTTCTCCGATTTAACCAGTAGAGAAGACAATATTTATGAATAAAATGACAATAGGAAAACTAGTAAAGAGACCTCACAAAAAACAACTTAGCTAATGCACTAGTCATGCATAGAAATAAATTCAACCATAATTTTGATTTTAAAAATGCTACACTCATAAAAAAAGAAAAGAACTCACTCAGAAGGATAATTCTAGAGAGTGCCGCCATAGAATATTACCCAAATATTAATCTACGCCCAGGTTTTTTCCCCATTTCACCTTTCTTAAAAAAATTACTGCTCTCACAAACAAATGTACAGAACAGATTCATAAAATCAAAAGAAAATGGTTGAATACATCAACACAGATATAATGACAATATTCTCCACACATAACAAATACTGACGTTATTTTCAGTTAATAATATGAAAATAGCGTTTCTCTACATTCCAGTTGCTAGGAACATTCTGTTTTTGTTTTTATTAGTTACCTTGTTCAATTAATTTCATTTCGTATTTTGCTTTGATAAAGTCCCCATTGGACAAAACGTCAGCAATTACTAGTTTTCCTATATATATATATATATATATATATATATATATATATATATATATATATATATATATATAATTCAATTTAAAGAAAAACAGACAACTTTAAGCACAGGTTCCACACACACACACACACACACACACATATATATATATATATATATATATATATATATATATATATAATTATTTTAAAAAATATGATTCCTTCGCTACATTAAATTGAATTAAAGTATCAAGCTCTGTTTTTAAATTGAATTAAATATCAAGTTTCACAGCTTGATACTTTAATTCAATTTAATTTTAATAATTATATTGAAGTTTTTGGCTCCTGTTTTTGAAACATGAGAACTCTTATGTAGCGAAGGATTCATATTTTTTTTTAAAATAATTATAATTTAGGCTCTACTTTTGTATTGAGCACAGTTTTTTTTTTAAATAAAAACAAAAATACGAAAGAACTTCAGATTATTTACCTAACTTGTTCTTTCCTATTTTTCTGTATATTTGCATTTTATATATATATATATATATATATATATATATATATATATGTATGTGTGTGTGTGTGTGTGTGTGTGTGTGTGTGTGTGTGTATGTTTCATTAAAAAGGACAGACTACGATTAAACATTCTATTTAATTTCTCTTGTATTCGAACAAGTGTTTTCTTTTTGGGACACAGAGTGCGTAGAACCTCGCCATTATCAAGGATAATTTAATCTTATTTTATTCGTTTTTTTTAAATATAATTGGATGTGTGCCTTGTGTGTATCTTTTTAGTGTAATAGAGATGTTTTATTTTCTGAACACAGTTAGCACATTGTGGCCGTGTTCCTAGTTAATATTATTAAGTTTTGGCTATTTCTTTTTTATTATTAAGGCTTCCATTATTTACGTGTGGATGAGGTTATTATGTTTATATTTTTTACTAGTAAGTTTCGAATAGAGTCTGGTAAGTTTGTGTGTGTGTTTAAATGGTTTCTAATAGATCTGTGATCAGATAGGTGTAACGTAAGGCGTCTAGATAGGCATGTAGTTGTGTGACCGATGTAATTATTTATGAATTCGGTTTGATCAGGAATACTGTTCTTTAAGGATCATTTGAACTTATAGGACAGTTCGTTCGTTGTAATTTTGACTTTGCCGGTGTGTTGTTATATATATATATATATATATATATATATATATATATATATATATATTAAGGCCTGTGGACATATTTCCTGTCTCGTCGCTTTTTTGCGTATTTATATATCTAAATATGTCTACGTGTTTGTGTATTATAATCGGATTGTGTGTGTATTGTCTTTTGCAAGATTTCACCATCCCTAACCCATATCTTGCATTCAAATATATCGAAGTTGTAATGGAGTTCAGAGCAACATTAGATCTTAACGTTTATTCCAACTTAATTTCAATAAAAACAAAATAAATAAAAAAAAAAAAAAAACATGTATTTCTCCTCAGTTTCTTCTTTAAAAAAATTTTTAATTTTAAACTTAATATAGATTAATTTTAAAATTGGTTAATTTTGAATTTTATAGTATAATTTAATATTTATTAGTTGGACTGAATTTTATTTTAGTCTAACCCTAACATTAAAGCATTAAATAATTATTATAATTTAAGTTCGTTGTCAAGTTTTTTGAATTCTCGTATGCTTGTATTTTTATTGGTTATTGCAGCTTATGTTTGATTGATTTGAACTTTTTAAAACCCTTTATTCGACATTCAACATCATCACTTGATAAGACACCAGAAGTGTTGAAACACAATGGCTATTTTTGTAGTGATTTTATAACATATTTATGTTAGAATTTTCAAATAAATGATTATATTTGCTGTACTCTGTATTGAGCACTCTTTTAAGAATAGTATTTTTTGGTTATTGCAATTTATTCCGTATACACCAATCCTATACTTGGGTGTGTATATATATATATATATATATATATATATATATATATATATATATATATATATATATATATACACACAGATATCAACACCCAATACCGACAGTATGTTTCGGGCTTTGATAGCTGAATTTATGGTCACTATTAGTTATTAGATAAATCTTGAGTTTTCGAACCATATATGGTTATCAGTGAATTAAAAAGAGGGGGAATTGAAAACACAATATTTGTTGTTTAAAATACTTTTCTTTTTTTTTTACCTATTATGGTCTGTACAATATAATGTATGATAATATAACATTCTTTTTTTTTTCCTTCTTTCTTTCTTTTCTCTTGCTTTCATGGTGTGTGCGAGTGATGTTTGTGAAGGGACATTTTCCCTGCCATCTTATACATAAATATTTTGTGTCTGAGAAGTTTTAAATAAAATAACAGATACATTGATTGGCCAATACAAAAAGGTTCGATCCAAAAGGACACATTGGCACATAGAAAACATTTCGTTTCGGTTTTGCAAAACACAACGTAAGAAAGAGTGACTGAATGTCGACAGTTTGTTTGGCTGTCAAAAACATATGAGTCATATATATATATATATATATATATATATATATATATATATATATATATATATATATTCACAGACACACACACACACATATATATATATATATAAGTTCGTAATCGCAAATATTACGCTCATACATAAATATTGATTTACTGAATGGCGGGTGAATTGACTTTGGCGTTGTCAGGTCAGTGCAAACTTTTTGACAAAGAATACACACACACACATATATATATATATATATTATTTCTAAATCACAATTTTTCTGTTAAGTTTATCTATTTACCTATCTTAGAAATTGAAAACGTTAGTGATATAAAGAGAATGGGCTAAAATGTCTTTAAGAAAGTTAGAAAAGTGTTTTTGGAAAAATTAAAAAAGTAATAAGCAAAAAAAATATAAAAATAAATAAAGAACTAACAATACATATTTGAATAAGCGTGTATGTTTAATGTAAACAGACAGAAACGCTGCATAACATAATGAACAGTAACTGAAGGCATGAACACAACCAAACTCGCACTTTTATGTAAACATCACAAATAGAAATGTATAACCTTGATGAAGAAGTGCACGAAAAATTATTTCTCAGTGGTAACTGTAATTGATTTATGTAGAGCTACATTGGACGAACCTGATAGCTGGTTTTGTGGTTGGGCCCTTCATCGAAAAGCCCAACCTCATATATATATATATATATATATATATATATATATATAAGAGAAAGAACAAATGGAGTAAAATTGCACTTTTCACAGCTGTTGTGTAGCGATTTTAACATGTTTTTATTATAATTTCTTATACTACTGCTACTACTACTAATAATAATTATACTAATAATATATATATATATATATATATATATATATATATATATATATATATATATATTCATTCGATACATCTGAGAAGGTACAGCGTTTAAGCTCTTTATTTAATTTTTGTTGTGTTCATATAAGTTTTTATTTTCTGGATATAAATTGTATAAAAATGTCCGAATGTTTTGTATGTATGAGCGCTTTCGGCTATTCGTTTAGCCATTATCAAAGATTTTTTTAAAAATTTTTCTGAATATGTAGATTTTTATTTATGTACCTAGGGTTTTGAGGATTTTTCAAA